GAGGCTTCTACTCGTAAATAGTGAAGCCAAACCAAAGCAGAGGTCAGTTCTCTTTGATGGGTCTCTCACTTGCTAGGAAAGGGGTGTTTTCTCAATACACATCCTTGCTGAGACTTTCAGACAGCAGTAAAGGATCAAAACCATTCACCGTGGAAGGAAGAACTCTACCTTGGCCTCATTCTACATATGTATTCATGACTGCTATTTCCTGGTGTCACCAGGATCAGTGTGGTTCATCTCCGGCCCATGTTTTCACTGTCTACTTTGCCTCTTCTACCATGTCACCTACTGTCTACTATTCTGCTACAGATACAGTATTTGTATTTATTTTAAAATAATAAATAAATGAAATAATTTATTTATATAAATAATGTATAAAATAATAAATAAATGGTATGCGTTCATTTTGTATATGGTGCTTTAAAGCAAAGGTTCTCAACCTGTGGGTCAAGACTTTTTTGGTCCAAATGACCCTTTCATAAGGATTACCTAATACCATTAGAAAACACAGATATTTACATTACAGTTCGTAACAGTAGCAAACTTACAGTTATGAAGCAACAACGAAAATAATTTTATGGTTGGGCATCACCACAACGTGAGAAATTGTGTTAAAGGGTCGCAGCATTGGGAAGGTTGAGAACACCAGCTTTAAAGTCTGTCAAACAGTGTGGAAAGGCCCAGTCAGGCTAACTCATATGATTCTGTCTTTTTCTGGTGAGAACTCTTGAGATCTTCAAGGCTTCAGTGCTTTCTGTTAGAGTTGCCACACTGCACAGTAGCTCATTTGAACTCTTCTCTGTGTGCCATCTCCCCAGACCTCCTCCCTCCATCCCTCAGCCCTGGTTAGCACTCAGCTGCTGTCTACTTCTGACTTTAAACTTTTTACCTTCCAGTCTAAGTAAGATGACAGAACATTTGCTCCTTGATGCCCTATCCATTTCCCTGGTCAGTGTCTTGTCTGGTTCATCACAAATAACAGTATTTTCTTTTTTTTAAGACTGAGAAGGATTCCTCTGTGTGTGTGTGTGTGTGTGTGTGTGTGTGTGTGTGTGTGTGTGTGTGTTGAACATGGGGGTAGCTACCTTTTCAACATAACTTTCAACGTAACTAATACATAACTGTATTAGTGACTTTTCTGTAATAAACTATCATTGTTGAGGACTGGTGTTTGTGGGGCTGTAATCGGAACCAGCCGATAAGCCCCAGGTCCATTCCTGAGTCTGGATGTGTGGATAAGGGAAAGGCTAGCTATAGATGATAAATGAAAGACAGAAATGTAAGATAGTAATAGGAGGGCATATTTAATCCATACTGAATATACCCAGTTTATTCATACACCAATTTAAGTAATCAACCAAAGGTGGGGACAATGGCAGAAGACTTCTATTATCATGTATAAAGAGCAAATAGCAATTACTTCCCTTAATCCTAAAGGCATTCCATAACTGCATGCTCTTTGCCTTCAGGCATTCCATAGCTATACAGCTAGCCTTCAGGACCCACCTGGGCCCAAGTCTATTGTTATTTCGATAGGAACCATTTACCACCAATTCTGGGTATCCTGTAGAGATAATAGGAGTAATTTAAACTTTCTAAATTCCTGACCAGACAGAATGGATTCCATATACGGGTTCCAACACATCATGACTACAAGCAACTTAGCAAGAGTTTATTTTGGCTTACTGTTCCAGAGGGTTAAGTGTCCATATGGTGGGAGAGGCATGGTGACAGACACAGGGTGAAGGCAGCAGACATGGGACAATGAGAGGTCACATTCAGTCACACACAGAAAGCAGAGAAAGGGGGGGAAGGAGAAAGGGAAAGAAGGAAGTGGGACAAGGCTAAGAAGCCTCAAAGCCTGCCCTCAGTGATACACTTCCTCCAGCAAGTCTCCAACCCCTAAAGGTTTGATAACCTTCCCCCCCCCCCCCCCGCCCCCAGACAGCGCCAGCAGCCTGGCTGTTTTGCACAGGTGCTGGGACCCAAACTCCAGCCCTCATGCTTGCCTGGCAAAGCACCTTACTGACTAAACTGTCTCATGTTTTTATTTCTCAGGGAAATGTCTCTTCCGTTCCGGTCCTGCCCCCACTGTTTGGTCAGGTTTTTATGGTGGTGTTTTAATTCTTGTGAATTTTGTATTTTACCATATCTCAATTCAAATTGCCCGTATCAAACTGAGAATCCACTGTGTGTGCACCAGGCTCCGAGAGAGCTCAGCTATAAGAGATGAGGAAGGTACAAAGTGGCCTTCATATTTTTTTGTGGAATCCAGGACAGTTTGATCCATATGAAATACTACCACTTAACTTGAGAGGCAGCTGAGATGATCACTGTTGATACAAAAAGCAGCCCTCAATATCTCTGTTGGTTGTTATGTCATTGATTAAATGGTGCTTTTCTTGTTCTCTTTGGGCCATATGGACATGAAATGAAAGGGATTCAATAGTACTCCATTCAAATTCATGGCACAGTATTTCCAAAAACTAAGCTTGACACAGTAGCATACATTCCTATTATTCCAGCACTCTTTAGACCAGGTGGCTTCAAACTCACAGCCTGCCTCTGCCTCCAAGTGCTGGGATTAAAGGTGTTTTTTAAGGCAGGTTTTTATTGTGTTTCCCAGGCTCACTGGAGTGGAACTTCCTTTCTCAACCTCCTGAATGCTGGGGCCTCAGGCACATATCACCACACCCAGACCTTCATCTTGTATCTGAATAATTCTTTCTACTTTGCAAATTGCCCCAATGTTCCAGTTGAGTATTTCCTTGTCATCCAAACCTCTGCAATGTAAACTTTCCTCCTTGGCTGCTGACAGGTGGGTGACACAGATAACTGAATGGTTTTCTGAAATTAAGTTCAAATATCCTGAATTTCCTCAGCTATGTCTTTAGACAGTAAATCATGAAGAAACGGTACTCTGTCTTGTTTCTACAGATCCACACAACCTTGTCACTAGAGTACTCATTGCTGCTGGCTCATCGGGAGCTATGGACAGCTGTTTGCAGCTGTCCTGTGGAAATCCAACCATCTGCTCATGTCCTAGTATTTGCCCGAAAACTGGGGATTCTCTGTCTCAGACTCTAGTCAGGGATTGCAGGTGTGAGTCCCTCACACTTTGCAGCCCTCGTGGAAGATCTAGCATATTGTCCACCTTCCTGTCCCACTCTCATCACTGTCCTGTGGGAAAAAAGTCAGGTCACTGCAGTAAACTCCTTGAATTCTGCACAGTATTCGTGAATGATGCAGGTTTCTGCCACTTCCCTAAGATGCCTGTGTTTTGTCACTGAGTCTTGCTTGTTTGAACACATCCTTTATCTAAACCTGTTTTTCCATCTGCCCTGTGGCCTGTCCTGTACTTTATAGTTAGTTGATCAAAGGTAACTTTAAAGACTTGGGAAGGCACGGGCAGGGAAAGTGCTGTGTGTGCAGCCTGTGGTCTTTCTGTCCCTCAGCGCTGGGTGTCTGCAAGTCACATGACTCAGTTCTGAGCCACTGTTTGAGATGCAGCTGCTCCAGCTTTAGTCTTGTAAATTCTTGTTCCTTTGTTCTTTATTCTTTACTTTCATTTTCTTGTCCTTCATTTTAGTTGCCTTAAATACTTACTACTACATAGACTGACATCAGCCCTCAAGAAATGGGGAAAGGGGATTGAGATGACTCAGTGAGGAAGACCTACCAAGCCTGCTTTGAGTTGTATCACCAGAACCCATATGGTGGGAGGAGAGAACCAACTCATACAAGTTGTCCTCTGACTTCACTGGTGTGCTGGTACACACATGCATGTAAACATTCACACACACAAATGTTCAAATTTTTAAAAAGAAAAACACAGTCTGAGCTATCTCAAAACAAACTAATTTGACTTTTGGGTGTTGGGTGATTCTGATGGACATGCAGTGGTCCTCTCTTTAGTAAAGAAGGCTGAGCTACCTACTATCATAGCAGATGGAGTACAGTCTCATGGCTGTGGTTAAAATGAGTTCAGGTTGGTGTCTGGATTGTTTTTAAATGGTTAATGTAAAGCTCCCTACATAGACCTAGCTGGTGCTGAGATTAAAGGTGTACATCCCCATGTCCAGCCCCTCTCAACTTTTTTCTTCATGTATGGAGAAAAGAGTACACCCTCACCAAAGATGGACAGAAAAAGTTAACACTGTTGACTTAACTGATGTTTCAGGCTTGTTTACTTCTTGGTTTCTATTGTTGCTTTGGTTTTCTGAGACAGTCTCATTGCAGCTGGGCTGACCCCCAAACTCACAGCCACCTTTCACCACACCTGGCTTAACAGTTTTGTATGTATGTATGTGTTGTGTGTATGTGTGTGGGAGTGTGAGTGGGTGTTGTGAGGGTGTGTATGTGTAAGTGTTAGGGATCAAACCTAGCACTTGGCACCTCATGCATGTTAGGCAAGGAGCTCTGGCCCTGAAAATTTTAAATACACACATTCATCTGGCAATTCATGTCTTTTAGTTATTTTCCAAATTAAGATAGACAGATTTTTTTTTTTTTTTTTTTTTTTTTTTTTTTTTGAGACAGGGTTTCTCTGTATTGCTTTGGAAGTTGTCCTGGAACTCGCTCTGTAGACTAGGCTGGCCTCAAACTCACAGAGATCCCCCTGCCTCTGCCTCCCGAGTGCTGGGATTAAAGGCCTGCACCACTGACACCTGGCTGATAGACAGATTTCTTACATTAAGGACATAAGTTTAATAATTTATATTGCAATTTCCAGTTTGTCTCTACCACCACCACCACCCATAAAACACTTCATTTTCAGGCTTGGGGATATACCTATATGGTAGGGTGCTTGTCTAGCATGTGAGGCCCTAGATTTGATCTATAGCAAATCACACATGTGAATACACACACGAGTTTCAGTTTCATATTGAAAACTATTAGTCATTTTAGATAGTTGTCCTAGCAGGGTTCTATTCATGCAATAATGATTTCCAGAAAGTCGTTTATGGGTGCTTTTCAGACATCTTCCCTTTTCCCAACAGGAAAGCCATAGAAGAATTGCTAAAGGAGGCAAAGCGTGGGAAAACCAGAGCAGAGACCATGGGACCAATGGGCTGGTAAGTTCTTGAGTAAGCCTACTTAAAAATAAATAAATGAATGAATAAATAAAAGCCAGGAGGCTGAGGCAGGAGGATTACCACAAGGGTAAAGCCAGCCTGTGAATCTAGCCTGGAGATACCGCAATGTGAATAGAGGTTGCAAAGCCTTGGGTGCTGTGTAAATCACCCAGAGGCTGGTGTAAGATAAGAACACTGCAGGGAGCTGAGCTGCAGCAAGGCATGGGCCGCAAGTGCGCTCAAAGAAATTTTGATAGGGTTATGGTTGATTTGGTGTATAAGGTGGCCTGAGATGTGGAAATACCTCCAGGCCCAAATAGCAGTGTTAAACCTGTGACCATCATCGTTGGTTTAGCCAGCAGAACCAACATTTACCCCTGGAGTTTCTATACAAACTTAATAATAAGGGAGTGGGTGAGATGGCTCAGTGGGTAAAGGCACTTACTTTTTGAATGACAACCTGAGATCGATCTCAGGGACCCACATAGTGGAAGGAGAGAACTGACTTCCTTAAGTTGTTTTCTGACCTCCACATGCACACAAAATAAATAAGTAAAACGTAAAATAACATGAGCAGAGGAAGAATTTAACCTTAAGACCTAATTCTAGTCTGTTAGTCATGCCTTTAGTAACAGCATTCAGTAGCTACTCTGTAGTTCACTACAGTGGGACACAAGAGTAAAGAAAAAGGGGGGGTAGGTAAGAACAGAAGCTTGAGTTCTTTTATATCTTGCTTCCTGTTCTGTTTCTCATATAACTTCTTTTTAAGATGTTTTTTATACAAGGAAATATCATATCTGTCTCTAATTTTCTCCTGTAATTCCCTGCATATCCCACCCGATGTTCCCCCTCCCAACTTCTTACCCTTTTTGGGGGGAGGTTTTCAAGACAAGGTTTCTCTGCATAACAGTCCCGGCTGTCCTGGAACTCTGTAGACCATGGTGGCCTCAAACTCACAGAGATCTGCCTGCTTCTGCCTCCTGAGTGCTGGGATTAAAGAAGTGTACCACCCTCCCAACTTCTTATCTTTTTTTTTTTTTTTAATAACCCACTTAGTTGTTGCTGCCCACAGGGATATGGGTGTGGGGCCATCCACTGATTCCCTCTCCCCCAGGCTGTCAGCTTCGGGTAGCTCCTCAGTGAGTCATGCCGCCTAGAGGTCGATTACCTGCCCACCTATGCTAGGATGTGGGCTGGCCTGCTCTTGTGCAGGTGACTATACTGCTGAGTTGATGAGTGTGGTATCATGTCATGTCCAGAGGACAGTATTTCACAGTGCTCCTCTCCATTAAAGTTTAGTGTTTACCTTAAATATGCCTGCTTTCTCATTTTTATATGTGTGGGTGTTTGCTTTCATGTGTGTCTGTGACCACATGCAAATAACTGATGCCCAGGAAGGCCAAAAGAGGGTGTCAGTGCCCCTGGAACTGGAATTATAGGCAGTTGTGTTGATGCTGGTAATAGAACGCCAGTTCTCTACAAAAGCAGCCAGTGCTCTTAACCACTGAGCCATCTCTTCAGCCCTTTGTTTTGTTTTTGAGCCAGGGTCTCTTGTATCTTAGGCTGCCCTCAACTCCCTGTGTAGCCAAGAATGACTTTGAAGTTTTTTTAAGATTTTTTTTTTTTAATTGTATGTGTATGTTGCATGCACTTGAAGGTGCCCTCTGGCCAACCCTTGGGGCTGCAGTTATAGGCTGCTATAAGCTGTCTCCTGTGGGTGCTGGACATCAAACTGTGGTCTTCCCTGTAAGAGCAGTATGTGCTTTTAACCCCTGAGCTGCCTCTCTACCACCTTGACCTTAAAATTCTGATCCTACAGCTTGTGTTTCTGGGGTTCTAACCCAGGGCTTTATATAAGCCTGCTAGGCAGGTACCCACCAACAGAGCTACACTTGGCACATTGTTTTGTAAATTTGGCTTTTAGAACCATGCACATATTTTCATAAAATATAGAGCTAAATTAAACCAAAATAAAGAAAAAGTTGCTAACTCCTAAAAACCAAGCAAAATAAAGCAGATAGACACCATTGAATGGGATCTTAGCCCAGAGGCACACAGAAAGGAAGTATTTCAAGTGCTGTAAAATTTGCCCATATTTCTAGAAGACAAAAGAAGACATGAAGTACTTGTTTTCCTTCATTGTGGTGCTAATGACAATGCTGAGATCCTGAACACTATGGACATCAATGGCTCTGAGTCTGTCAGTTGAGAGTAGTGGGCACTGCCATATTCTCAGCCCTGATGATTATATTGGTATTCTGAAAACATTACATAGTAGGATAAAATTAAAGGTCAAAGTCAGAGAAGTAAGAACTTTAATTGGAAATATCCAGAGGAAGTTGTATTGCATTATTTTTCTGAAAACACTGAGGGTTTTTTTTTTTTTTTTTTTTTTTTTTTTTAAGTTTTGGAACACAGAAAAGCCCTAGAAATACTGATTGTCCTGCTGTTAGCAGTGAGGTCTGGTGCCAGCCTGTTACTCAAATACATACTGTTTTCACTGAAAGAAGACAGGTCCCTAGGGGGACTGCTGCTTGCACATCAGAAGCAATGCTCAGAATAAGCCAAACTGAGGGTAGGATGCCACAGTCCTGCAAGACAGCCTTCATTTCTCATACCAAGATTCCCAAAATGCCCTCAGGTTTCAGTGGTTCACTAGAATTTAGGATGTTGCTGGAATCTGCTACACTTGTGGCTACAGGATGTTACAGGAAAGGGACACAGATTAAAATAAGGCAAGATAAGAAGAGGTCAGAAGGAGGGACTCTGGTTCAAATCGGAAACTTCTCGGCCCCTCCCCTATGGAGTCAGAACATGCTGCCTTGCCCACATCAGCAGAGGACGGAGTGATGCCAGCCAAGGAAGGGTCATGAATCTTGGTGTTCAAAGTTTTTATTGTGACCCCATTACGTGGGTATGATTGATTGACTGATTGATTACATGGTTGACTGGTTGATTACATAGTTGATTTTTAATTTCCAGGTTGACCTATATCACATGTCCTAAAGCTCTCACCTTACGTCAACATAGTTGATCTTTCTTGTGTGTCGAGCCCTCCTCTAAGCCCGAAAGGTGTGGCCAGCTCCACCCTCAACAAAGACATTTCTATCACGTATGATGTAGATTACTTTCCCAAAGCTGAAGGCAAAGACCACACCCTCCCTGTAGGTCAAGCTAAACTCTTACTTCACAGGAATAAAACACTGTAAAGATCTGGAAAATCTTGTCATGCCAGAAAGCAAGAAACTGTCAAGGATTACTATCAGGTTGGGAAGTCTCTGGAACCAGTTTGAAGTTAAAGATGGAGTAATTTGATCAAAAAATATGAAATTATAATGATTGAATCACCTACAACATGTTGAAACTCTTAAAATTATGTGCTGGCTGATTTTATGTCAACTTGTCACAAGCTAGAGTCATCAGAGTGAAGGGAGGGAGCCTCAATTGGTAAAATGCCTCTATAGGAACAAGCTGTAGGCAAGCCTATAAGGCATTTTTGTAATTAATGATCAATAGAGGAGGGCCCAGCCCATTGTGGGTGGTGCCATCTCTGGGCTGGCATCCTGGGTTCTATAAAATGCAGGCTGACTTCCTTTGATGATGAACTGTTATATGGAAGTATAAGACAAATAAACCCTTTCCTACCCAACTTACTTTTGTTTATGGTGTTTTAACATAGCAGGAGTAACCCTCACTAAGACAGGTTGTAAGAAATGTCGCAGGTTCAGCCCATTATCATCATGGCAGAGAGCATGGCAGCATGCATACAGACATGGTGTTAGAGAAATAACCAAGTATCCTACATCTTACAGGCAATAGGAAAATAACTGACTATCACACTGAGGGGAACTTGAGCAAAAGAGACCTCAAAGCCCACCTTCACCGTGACACACCCCATAATAGTGCTACTCCCTTTGGGGGCTATTTTCTTTTAAGCCATCACAAGCCTCAAACTAGAAACAGTCCATATGGCCATCACCTCACACACACATGGATACGAATGTTGTAGTTGTACCTCTAAACTTACACTGCCCAACAGTGTGGAGAAACAGAATGGTTGTGGTAAAATGCCTGGATGAATCTCAGGAGTGTTATGAAGAATCCATACACAAAACATGACAGTGTGTGGTTCCATTTATTTGGCTTTATGGAGACCCCAAACTAGGACCATAGTACATATCACCAGTTGTTTGTTGGGAGATAGAGGGCTAGAGAAGGACTTACAGAACATTCTGTATCTTGACTGTGACAGAATCTGAGTCCTTGTGTTGTTAAAGCCCAGATGTTAGTCACTTCAGTAGATTAATTTGAGGACTGGAGAGAAGGATTAGCGGTTAGGAGCATTATTGTTCTTCCAAAGCTGGGTTCCTAGCATCCACATGGCGGCTCACAACACCTGAAATGCCATTTGGATGAGTGGTGTCCTGGCACCTTCTTCTGGTCTAGTAGGCACCAGGCTTGTACATAGTGCATATACACATGTGCAGGCAAACACTCATACACATAAAATAAATCTTGTAAAAAGAGATAAGTTGTATGTAAATTATTCCATCATAAAACATATTTTAAAGAGGGAGGCTGGAGACTTAGCTCCATGCTAACGCACTTGCCTAGCATGCACACACAAAGTATTGTTTGACTCCCCAGGACAGCAAAAACATTTACAGACTCCAGTATTTGGTTGTGTCCATGTGACCATCAGTGGCTGCTGAATCTATCAGGTGAGAAGTGATGGACACTGTCTTAGGTAACTGTTGTTGTGAAAAACACCATGATCAGAAGCAACTTGGGGAGGAAAAGGTTTATTTCATCTTATAGCTCTCAGGTAACAGTCCTATCACTGGGAGAAGTCCAAGCAAGAACAGATGCAGAGGCATGGAGGGGTACTGCTTATTGGCTTGCTCCTCATGCTTTGCTCAACTCAGCCTGCTTTCTTATAGAACCCAGGACCACCAGCCCAGGAGTGACACAGTATGCTGGGCCCTCCCATGTCAGTCACCAATCAAGAAAATGTCCCACAGGCTTGCCTACAAGCCAGTCCTGCCTATGGAGGCATTTTCTCCATTGCAATTCCCTTTTGGATGACTGTAGATTGTGTCAAGTTGAGGGGGGGGGTCGCTTTTTCTGCTGAATGTTGGGTTGTGATATACTTACCGTATTAGTGATTCCTTTTTATGGTGCTGGAGATAGAGCCTGTGTTTGGCCTTATACAGTGCTAGGCAAGCAAGCTCTCTTCTGCTGAGCCACAACCCTCACGTTAGTGATTCTTCACAAAAATAAAAGCTACAATAAAAAGAACACACACACACACACACACACACACACATGCACGAGACACCCTGGTAAAGACACTGAGCTGGGGTCTGATCTGTGTCTAAAGGTTGAAATCACAGCATCAAGATGTGGGATTTTACAGGCCAAGGAAGCAGTGTCTTTCTCAAATGGATGGATTACAAGGAAAAGAAGGATCCTGTGAATTAATAGATTTGAGTCATATCAAATAAGATTTCTTGTTAGGATCTGAAGCATTTATGTAATTATTCTTTATCAATAAAAACTGGGGAGTCAGATATTGGGTAAGAACCTGAATGACCAGAGAAGAAGCAGAGAAGTGACCTCCTGTCTCTCTTCTCTCTCTCTTCCTTGATTCAAAAAAAGATGAAGACACTCTCTAAGCCCCACCCTCCTACTTCCTGTGTCTCTGTCCTTGGTCCTCCAAAAATCTCTATGGCTAATTATGGTCAGCTAGTAGCTAGCTCCTTCTGATTCATAGCAAACTCTTGTTAGCAGTCAGGAGCATCAGAATGTAACCAAAATATCCCATAACAAGAATCCTTGTCCAAAATGACTATTGGGGGTTGGAGATGGCTCAGTGATTAAGAGCAGTGGCTGCTTTTTCAGAAGTCCTGGATTCAGTTTCCAGCACCCACACGGCAGCTAATTCACATCTCTGACTCCAGTTTAGGGTATCCGATGCCACCTCTGGCCTCTCAGGCACCAAGCACACACAAGGTACATAGATATACATGCAGACAGAGCACTTATGCACATGAAAATTAATCTTTAAAAACTTTTAAAAATAAAGAATCTATTAAAAGACCCTTGAGAAGCTGGGCATTGGTAGCACATGCCTTTAATCCTAGACTCGGGAGGCAGAGGCAGGTGGATCTCTGTGAGTTTGAGGCCAGCCTGGTCTACAGAGCTAGTTCCAGGACAGCCTCCAAAGCCACAGAGAAACCCTGTGTCAAAAAACAAAAAAGAAAGGAAGAAAGAAAGGAGAAAGAATAAGAAAAAAAGGACACTTGAGTACTAGAGGATGGACAAGCCCCTTGTCTTGCAAGCACGAGGATCTGAGTTCCAGCCCCAGAACCCATGAAAAAATGCTGGGTTTGTCAGTGGGTGCTTGTGCTCCCAGGGTTGGAGAGGTAGAGACGGAGCTCTACCGGACAACCGCTTTAGCCTAATTGGTGAGGTGCAGCCAGTAAGAGACCTTGTCTGAAAGGAAGTGGACAACATTCAGAAAAATGACAACTAAGGTTGTCCTCTTGCCTGTCCCTGCATGTACACACAGGTGAACTCCCCCCCCCCAACACTTTTTAAAAATATATAGGAGGGAGTGAGGAGGGAGCTCAGCTGTTAGAAGTATGACTGCTCTTGCAGGGGACTCAGGTTGATTCCCAGCACCCACACTGAATGGCTCATAACCACCAGTAACTCCAGCTGCAAGCAATCTGATCCCCTGTTCTGGTCCCATGAACACTGCACCACTTTGCACATACACAGACATGCATACACGTGATTTTAAAAGACATGTTTTTTACAATATTTGAAGACATTAAGAAAATCCATGGTGGGTTTGTAGTCTTGATAATGGTTTTGCTGTTTTAGAAGATTGTTAATGTGTGAGTGCATGATGTGTGAGAGTATGTGCCCACATGTGGAGGTCAGGGGACAGCTATGGGGAGTCAGTTCTGCTTCCACCTTTACCTGATGCTGGGGACCAAGCTTGTCAGTCTTGTTCTGTTTTGTTTTATTGTTTTTTCAAGTCAGGGTTTCTCTGTGTAGTTTTGAAGCCTGCCCTGGAACTCCCTCTGTAGACTGGCCTGGCCTCCAACTCACAGAGCTCTGCCTGCCTCTGCCTCCCTAGTGCTGAGATTAAAGGTGTGCACCACCATGGCCCAGCAAGCTTGTCGGTCTTGTATAGCAGGCATTTTGCCTGGTGAGCCAAATGAATTTGGTGTGTTTCCAAATTTACCTGCACATTTGGAATCATCTGACAAGCTTGAATGCCACTGATGTTTGTTTATGTCCTGCTGTCATGATTTTGGAGTGGATCTGGGCTTTGGGACTCAAAAGACACACCCAGGTACTTGCTAGGCAGAAGCTAAAAATGGCCTTGCACCGAGGCCAGGGTACACAGCACTCTTGCAGTGAAGTAGCTTGGCTAGGTATGCAGGCAGACACCAGGCCAGGCTGGAGAAGGACCTCTGTGCATAGCTCTTAAAGGAACAGAGAGCCAGTTACTCAGTTGTAAGCCATGGTTTGTTTTTCTATATTCATGGAAAGGTTTTACTAACTCAGAATGGTCTTCACTATTTAAACTAGAACTTGGGTGGGATTATTAATTTGGGACATTCCATAAAAAGGATCATGGGAACTTGAGCAGGTGCCAGGCAGAGGCTGCTGAACTAGACAAGTGTGAGTGGAACGCCATTTTTATTCCTACAGAAGGAGACCATTGGTGCTGTGCACTGCCTTGGGTGTCTCAGCAAACACTCATTTGAGCTTGCCTGGCTTTCTTGTCTGCAGTCATTTTTGTTCTGACCATAGTCTCTTCAGCGTCTCTGCAGTGTCATTCCCGAGTCTGATGCCCAAGGCAAGAACCCACAGTTCAAGGGGCCCTGGAGCAGCAAGCAGCCTGTAGTTTCTTAACATGATTTTGTTCTGGTAAATGCTGGGTGCTTTCCTAAGCGGTTGGGGTCAGTCTGGAGACAGACAGGGAAGCACTTTCATTATGAGTCTGCATTTTACACCGTCAGCATTTTACTTTGAGTGCTGGGAGTTGAACCCAGGGTTTCTCACATGTTGCTCAGCTACATCCCCGACACTGCTGGGAATGGTTGGTTACTGGAAAGCAAATCACCCCCGCCCCAGTCTGTGTGCAGACATGCAGTTTTCCAGATCCATTTGGACTTTCTGATTGCCGTAGGTAGTTCAGGTGGCCTGGCATGCACTGGTGAATGGACAACAGGAGATGATCCCACTTTAGTGAGGAGGCTGGGAGTGTGTACCCTTTGCAGTATTTCAGGACCACCAAAATCCAAACCTTCACTTTATACTTCAAGATCATGGGGCCCAGAGAAGTTTCCTGAGACTTCATCTCCACCCCAGCTGACTCTGCTGAGGGATTGAAACCTCACAATGTCTGCTCCTGTGCCAAGCCACTTCTCTTCTCTTCCTGCCTGAGAATGTTCTGTGGTGCTTACTGGCTCTGCAAGTGCTCCTGCGGGCTCTGCATGTGCTCCTGTGGGATCATGGTCTGGACAGAGGCCCGAGTGGTATGGCACGGGAGACCTTCCGTGGGTCTCAGCTAACCTGTGTGTGTTCCCACCTGCTTCTGTTCCCCTCAGTCTTCTCCCACATAGATAAGCCCACTGATGGCCTGGTTTGTCTTTTCCACACAGGCTACTGTGTGGAAAATGCAGGTGTACTGTCCTGCAGATGGAAGAGACTTGGGTTTTGAAAATGAATAAATACTTTTCTATATGCATTCTCCCACTTACACACATAGCCCACTATTTCACATTGCTTTTCAGTACAGTGCTGGGGACACAGTAAGCTTTGGGAGTGTTGAATAAAAGGTAATTAAGGAGTATCATTTCTCAGATGGCCACATGCTTGATTGCCAAGATGTAAAGTGCACTACCATGGGTGATTATGGTAGCTGTGGCAGCATTAAACAACAACATGAGTTGTAATTACCATAGCATCAGGATAAATATCCTCTCTGCATGGGGGCCTGCCTCTGCCTCAGTGTTTCCAGAGGTGATGTTCTAGTCTTGTAGCATCCAGAGTGTAAAAGGCTTATGTTGAGCAGATGGCTGCCTGTCACTGGCATGGGCATGGGTTTGTCTGTAGACTAGCAGGCAGAGGGCTGCACTGCATGCAATCTGGTTTTCATAACCAAGGCACTTGTCTGCTGTAAATCACCACTCCCCAGACCTACTGGACTCAGAGTCAAGTGATGCTTCTTTGCCCTGACATTGTCTATGCTGTGACTGTCCTGTGTCCCTGAGTGGCCAGCCATCCATAGCGCTGTGTGCCTCTGTTCATCTTCTGCTGGGTGGAGAAGCCCCAGCTACAAACACAAGGAAGCACTTCCACCTTCAATGGCTTCCCTGGTTGCTGGTCACTGACCACTTAGACTATGGCAACTTTTCTCCAGTTCTGCCTTAGCCAAGGTGTGGTGTCAGGGCTGACCCTGCTGTGGTAGTGTCTGCAGAGTCTCCTGAGGTAATGCTGTAATGTTCAGGCACAGGGCCATTGTACTGTCTTTCCAGGGTCTTGCTGTGTCATCCTGAATTGTTATGTGCCCCAGGCTGGCCTCAAGCTCATGGCAGTCCTCCTACCCTCCTACAGGGCAAGGGAGCTTGGTTCTGTGGGAGCTGAATTCTATTGTACTGATCTGGATAGTAGGTCAGCTTGGGAGGGAATTTAACTTTCTTGTTTATGATGTTTTTCCCTCCCTCTTCTCCTTCACAGGATGAAGTGTCCTCTTGCTGGTACAAATAAAAGATTCCTAATTAACACAATTAAGAACACCTTGCCCTCCCATAAAGAGCAAGAGCATGAACAAAAAGAGGGCAGCAAGGAACCTAGCCAGAGCCAAGACCAGAAAGAAACAAACTCAAAGAAGCACAGAAGCCGCTCGTCTAAGCGCAGCCTGCACTCAGCCCGAGGCTCGCCCCCGAGGAAACGGGCCTCCAGGGACAAGGGTGACCACCGAACCAGCAGGCGATGAGCGAGCTGCAGGGCCAGCCCAGTACTGTGCCTGCCACCAGGTGCAGTGAGGACAGGGAGGTGACAGGGCTCTGACACCTGAGAATGACTTTGCAGTGGGCCCTTTGCTTTAAGATGTCGTTATTGTTAAAAGAAAAAAAAAAAAAAAAACCCTTTTACTAAAACAAACCCTTGTCCTGAAGGTGTCATGGAAGACGACTTAGCATTGCTAGGCACATACATGTTGTTTTATCCTGTCTTGTTTGCAAGTTAGTTTCAAAACAAACAGTTCTAGAATTTGAAATTTTCAGGTTGTTAAAAACTAGTCCCAGTTTTTTGATGTACTGCACTTTTTGTGGTCATTTCCCAGAATTTCTCAAAATAAAATACTTAAGAAATGTTTGCTTTCCTCTTTTAGCTGTCAAAGGCTAAGCTCACAGCCTGACTGGTGGCCATCCTGATGGAACTCGGCCACGCTGTGTGTTCTCTAAGTGGCCAGGATGAGGAGTGCTCACACAGCTTTGGACTTCGTGTCACTCGGAAAGTGGCTGTTCCATTCTCAGACTCATCCCTTAGATAAGGCTGCTTTTCTACACTTACTTATAAATATGCATGGGCTGGGCAGTTCTTTTCAAAGAAACCTCAGTAGTTAAAAATATCTTAATTATTTTACCAGTAGATCACAAGCCTAACTGTGCTATCTATACAAGCAGGCATAGCTGAACTCCTGAAGATGGTGGCTGCTGGGTATGGAGAATGGGGCAACCAGCAGGACTCTTGCACTCCTGTAGCATGTGAGGTCCGGTCCATTCATGTTTTCATCCATCCATCATTCAGTCAGTCAGGGCTGTCTTAGAGAACTGTCACAAAAGCAAGCACATGCTAGTGCCACATGAACTCTCTCACCACTGCCCCAAAATGTAGGCTATGTGTGTCTGCCATAGTTAAAGTACTGTTCTGCATAGCATTTGCCTCCTCCTGAACATTTTGGGGACCCCCCCTTCTAGGGTTCCCACCCCACATATTAGTGATCTGTCCAGTAAATGGCTATGGATTCTATCATTTTCATTGTGGAAAAAAAAAAGAAATAACAAAACAAAATAAACAGACACACCTTTTGGTCCAATGAGATGACTCAGTGGGTAAAGGTGCTTGCCACGAAGCCTAATGACCTACACAAGAGAGAGCCAATTTCTGCAAGCTCGCCTCTGATCTGTATACACACACACATACACACACACACACACACACACACACACACACACACACACACACAAAGGTAGTTTTTAAAAATTGTTAAAATTCAAAAATTTCAAATTCTAATCTGATGACTCAAATATGTGCATCTCCAAAATATTACCAAAAGGCATAACAATAACATCTGAGATGTATTAAATGGGGATTAATGGCAGATGATATTTTGTATTAAGATGACATAGCAACAGATAATGTCCAGCATAAACTACAGAAAGAAATAATTGGACTGAAAGAAACAGAGGACCAGTGAGCCTTGGAAGAAATTAAGATGTGCAAATACACTCATAGTTGGTGTCTCTACAGATAGAGAAAAGTTGCAAAAAATTCAGAAACGTTGACAAAAGTTTTCCAAATATTTTAACAAAATCTAAGCAAAATTGGGCAAATGAGGCAGGATTGTTATAAGTTCATGGGCAGCCTGGGCTACATAGTGAGTTCTAGATCTGCCCTGAGCTATAAGTGAGACAAATGTCTCAAAACAAATAATAAAAACTGTGAATGCACAAACACAACAAGCTCAAAAAACTCTAAGAATATGAAACACAAAGACAAGAAGAAAGCCACAGTGAGACACATCATAAATAATCTTAGTTGTCAACTGGGTAGGATGTGAAGTGCCCCTCTGTGTGTACATCTATGAGGGCATTCCCAGATTAAAGGGGGCAGTCCATCATTGATGTGGCCTGTACCATATCATTGCTGAGGACCCAGATACATTAGGGGGCAAGGAGAAAGGCCACAGAAAGACACTCCATTTATCCTCATCTCATACTCTCTCTCTCTCTCTCTCTCTCTCTCTCTCTCTCTCTCTTTCTCTCTCTCTCTCTGTGTGTGTGTGTGTGTGTGTGTCCCCGTGTCCCCTCCTTTCTTAAGTTTCCCTATTTAAACATACCACATCTAAGAATTGTCTCAGTCTCAGAGGTGACTTGGAACTTGGGCTTGCTAATGCTGCTGGCACTGTTAAGACTGTGGATGCTGTCGGAGATATGCTATGTGTGTTTTTGAGTCTATGAGTCTTTCAGGGGCCAGAACTAAAATCTATGATCACAGGAGTCTGGTGCCAGGTGGGCTCAGGTAGACTTGTCAGTCATCAAACTGGATTGTTACAGTGATTGGCTTGAGGTGCTCCTGGGAGATCGTGGATGCTTACCTCTGGCTTTCTTGATGCTTCCAGAAAGGGTTGACCAAAAAGGTGAAGTCTCTCCCTGGATCAGCCCAAAGGTTAAGGCCCTGGGTAAAATAAAAGTGGGAAAAGGTCGCATACACCTTTAATCCCAGCACTTCAGGAGGCAGAGGCAGATGGATCTCTATGAGTTCAAGGCCAGCCTGGTCTACAGAGTGAGTTCCAGGACAGCCAGGGAGACACCGAGAAACTCTGTCTTCAAGAAACTAAACAAGTGGGGGGGGGGGAAAGAACTCTGGGTACAGGCATTTTCTTCTTCCTGGCCTCCCTGAGATAAACTGCAGCCCCCTTACCCTCCCCACCATAATGAGCTCAACTCTGAAACTGATTCAAACAAATCTTTCTTACAACGTTTTGTTCAATTATCATATCATTGTGATAAAATAGTCTGGAGTCTGGTTAACATACTGACTAAAATCCAAACCACTTTAAACCACTGGTGATGAGACACGACAAACAGCTAAAAGAAAATGCAGTGCATTCAGGAAAAAAAAAAAAAAATCTCAGGGCTTGGGAGACTGAGGCAGGAGGATTGCCATGAGATTGAGGTCAGCCGGAGACATATTGTTAAGTTCCAGGCCAGCCTGCTACAGAGTGAGACCATGTTTTCAAGACAAAAAATATGTCATCAATACAGCAGAAACAGACGGTGAGACAAAGTCACCAAAATGTAGAAAGAAAATTACAGTTGTCAGCACAGAATTCATCACCCCAAGAAGAATTTTCTAAAGCAAAATGTGCTAATGTCCTCATCTTTAGTCCCCTGCATCCCCCATCCACCCAGCCACTGCACACAAAAGGCCTCAAGTGATGGGGTTTCACTGCCCAAGAATCAGGGCTCCAAGCACAGCTGGCACCAGCCTGAGCACCTTGTGTCTTATGAGGGGAAGTTACTGAGCAGAGCCACAGAGAGGCACTGTAGTCTTGAAAAAAAAAAAAATTTAAACATACTTTTTAAAAGGGTACTTTTTTATTACAAAAGTTACACTTGTTTTTATTTCTTAAGAGATTAATAAAAAGACAAATGTGTGGACCATGCTCTTAATATAAGATTTTAAAAGGCAAATTCTATTTTTTTTTTTTATAGGCAGGGTCTCATATATACCAGACAGGTGTCAAAGTCTGTAGTTACCAATGATGACCTTGAACTGTAATCCTCCTGCCTCTACTGAGTGATGGGATTAAAGGCATGCACTGCCACACCTGTCTTATTTTGTTGTTTTTGTTTTGTTTTGTTTTGTTTTTTTACAGTGCTGAAAGCTCTATACATATAGGTGCCCTACCGGCTGAGGTATATTCTTTCTACATTTCAGTGCATATGATTCTGGAGGATCTAGCCAAGTGCTGTAATAATTCAATAAAACTTAGTAATGTACCAGAATAGAGTAATTTGCAATTGATACACTTTTCCATGTAGAATACACTATAGCACCTTTCAGGACTATTGGCTAAGAACTAAGTAGCTACCTAAACTTTTAAGGAGTTTGTTGTGGGAGCCAGGTGTGGTCGCCCACTCCTTTAGTCCCAGAGAGCTCTCTGTTGGTTCTAGGCCAGCGTAGTTAAATAGTGAGTTCTAGGGCAGCCAGGGCTGTACACAGAGACCCTAAAAACATAAAACAGTTTACTGTGGGGCTAGACAGATACTTAGAGCAGAGGTTCTCGATCTCTCTAACGCTGCAACCCTTTAATACAGTTCCTCATGTGGTGGTGACTCCCAACCATAAAATTATTTTTGTTACTACTTCATAATTGTAATTTTGCTATTGTTATAAATCATAGTGTAAATATCCGATATGCCACCCCTGTGAAAGGGTTGTTCCACCCCCAAAGGGGTCATGAGCCACAGGTTGAGAAACATTGGCATAGAGGCTGAGAACACTAGCTGTTCTTTCAGAAGACCTGGGTTTGATTCTCAGCACCCACATCAGGCTGCTCACAACTGCCTGTAACACCAGCTTCAGAGGATCTGATGCCCTCTTGCTGTCTCCAGAGGCACTGCACACACACTATGCACATGTAGACAAAAAGGCACACACACAAACATTCCCATCACACACACACACACACACACACACACACAGTAATAATAAATTAGCATGAAAAATCAAGCAGTACAGTTCTGTCTCTCAATACCAGTTTTACAGTAATATCTCCCAAAATATGTGAATTAAAGGACTGGAGTGGTGGCTCAGCAGTTAAGAGCACTGGCTGCTCTTCTAGAGGACCTGGGTTCAGTTCCTAGTACCCACATGGTGGCTCACAACTGTCTGTAACTCCAGTTCCAGGGGATCTGACACCATTTGGGCTCTAAGGGCACAAGACATATGGTACATAGACATACAAGTAAACCATTCATACAAATAAATCTGAAAGATATATTTTTCATTTTTGGTTTTTCAAGATAGGGCTTCTCTGTCTAGCCCTTGCTGTCCTAGAACTTGCTATGTAGACCATGCTGGCCTCTGCCTTCCAAGTACTGGAATTAAAGCTGTGCACAACTATGCCCAGCCTAAAAAAAATATTTTAAGACTAAATTACATTAAATTGGAGAAGAATTTAAAAAGAATAATGATAAGATTGTCTAGTGAAATCAAAGTAGATACAAATAAAGTTGTAATTCAAAGAGGATGCAGATAAACAGCTGAATGAAATAAGATAGCGATACAGGATATGAAACAGGAATTCCATAAAAGCAAATGCTGAAAATGCAAATTGAAAGTTTGGAAACGAGGGACACAGAAGAAAGCAGTGAGAGAATGGATCAGGTGGCAGAGGGGAAACCAGTGATGGAAGATCAGTAAGGCGACAAAACACACTAAAATCCATGAGACACAATTTGAGCAGGCTGGGAGAGATGTTCACAGCTGTAAGTACCTTCATTAGAAAAATAATTTATTTTGGCTGTTAAGGCAGTTAACTTCAGGGTAAACTCTCATTATACCATCGAAATGTCCTTTC